GCTGGTGAGATTTGACAGAAGGTGTAGGCCCGCGCGCACTTTCCATTCGTGCTTGGCCTAGATACGTAAATTTGACAAAGACATTCACAGAATCTAGAAGCCCCTCCGTGAGTCCTTCCCCCGTCCTTTCGTCATGGACCCTGCATTTCAGGATATGGATAGGTAAGGTAGAGATCTGTGTCAATGAATTGATGGATGGCAAAACATCAACGCCAGACGCCACATCGTGCGGTTTACCCTTCTCTGCGGAGGATTGCAACGCATTCGATTTAGAAGAATATTCGAAACGCCAGATCGAGAACAGCTATTGCTACGATGGCGCCGCCTCAAACAAAAGTCTTATCAGGATGGAAGTCGAACGATTCGTAGAAGGAGGAGTTCTGGATGCACCCAATGCACTCACAGTTCAGATCACTATGGGGTGATCATGTTAATCTTGGTTGCTTCTGTGGTACCCTAGCGAGAACCCTGATTTTCTTCTTTCTTTTTCTTTTTGCTTTTCTTTTCCCGTCAAAACGATCAGCAGCTAGTGGATGACGAAAGCATGACAAAAAAGGCAGATCGAATTTTGCGAGAGGCTACGCTGTGAGTTGAGCTGAGCTGAGCTGAGCTGAGCTGAGCAAGCAAGCAAACCTAGCCCCGTCGGTCCCGTCTTCAGTACGGTGACGAAGTGAGACCGAGTTCCTGGGAAATCACATACAGTAGCTCTAGAAGAACAGAATAAAGGGGCGCAACGTCTACCAGCGCGTATCGTCCTACGCCATCGTGGAACTAAGAAGGCGCCGTCTTGCCCAACTTGTGCGCCGAGTGGCAGACTAATTTGGAGCCGGCTCTCGAGGTGAAGCGACCCGGGTGCGTTTGGTGGAATCTAGACGTTCGACGGCGCGGATGGAGTCACGAGGTGTGAATGACGATCCAAGTTGGGCGGAAAAGATGGGGAAATCTTGGAAGGGTCAGATATTTACGGATACTGAATTTGCTTGCAGATGGGAACGTCTAATATCTTAATTGGTCTGGAGTACCTACCAATCTTTACTGTCACTGGGCCATGATATGGTGCGAATAAAACCAGCAACTGGCCAGAGCGCCTCTTTACGGCGAGAATATGGAGTAGGTTGTCATATCAATTGTTTGGTCGTTTTAGGGCATGTCATCAAAAGCAGGGTCCAGCCCAGGCTTTTTGACTTATTGCGTGGCCCAAACTGTGCTATCAGCGCGTTCGCGGGGAGTCGGTGACAGCAGTAGCTTAGATCTCGCTGAGGGGGTCTCGTGGCTCCAGAACGAAACACTTTCGCTGACGATCCAAAAGGGGATTGAGATAGCTCCACGAAAACCTCCATTGAGTCGGTCGTTACTGCACGGCAATTGCTGAGTCGGTAGGCAAGCTAGACGATCCATAGCTCCGTTGTGGTGCTGAAGCGAGACGCAGGAGAATGCATTGGCTCGCACATGTTGCATATCGCCTGCAGACCTGCTCAGGAACAGCAAACTAGGGCTCGACTAAGTCTGCTAGAGGAGGCACAAGACAGCATCAGAAACCGCAATCCCAAGGGATAGTTCTTGGGCTATTTCCCGTGCCAGCGCCCTTTGCGCCGCTGCCATTGAAACTGAACTGCCCCCTTTGCCGAGAGTTTTGAATCAGCCTGTCACTCTGTCTGGTATTATGGCAACCTACCCGGCAGTGGAAGTGATCAACACGCCTTCCCAGACTTTTCGGGTCTCTGACGACGATGACTGACGATATTTCGCGTAGAGATACACTTAGCATGAATGATAGGCCTCCAACAAGGTTGGGATCGTGACCAAAGAGTTTATGGCTTTGATTCGGGTTCGGAATAATGTCATATGTGTTTCGTTATTGTCTTATGGCTAATAATGCTACAGTCTTAGCAGCCGTGTATGTAGGTCAGACTGGGAAGACATGCATGTTACTTGACCGCGACAAGGTGGCATCCAATCCAAGAAGTCATCACCCTAGACTAGAAAATGAAGCTGGTAATAGTTCGTGTGATGAATGCTCTGGGCTTCCTCTGACTCGGGACCACTCCGTTATGAAGATAATCGCTCCGTGATGTGGGCATTCCTGCATCATCGTTTGTACTGTACAGTAGTCTTGTACTAAGACTCCTCTCCTCTTTTCTCCTCCGAGCTCAGCCATTTCACTGACGAGTTGAACACAACGCGACACGATACGATATGCACAGACAATGCAATGCAGGAGGGAGGAGAGAGAACTTGTGGAGTGGGACCGAGGCCGTTGATATCTAACGTTACCTCATTCGACAGTGGTTAGGTGGAAGTTTGTTCAAGGTTATCGGATTTTTACTTTGCGACAAAAAAAATACAGTTTTTATTTTTATTTTCTATCATGGATGTTTATTTCGTAGCGCCATCTGGCCAGGGTAGGATACGAACCGGCGTTGAGTATGATGCTGGATGATGTGATGACTCTAGTTGAAGTCAAGAGATACGTTGTGGTATTCGTACACGCGGTTTCATCTAAAGTTCCCCCTTCGTGATGGATGGTCTTGATGATTCACGAGGGCTGTCTAAACAAACCCAGGCTTGATCACCGCCTATTACTCGAGTTGGACCTCACCATGCATCCATTGACAAGGGGTCCATCTGCATTTACTCTTGTATCAATCATCCGTCTCTCGGGACCTTGCTAAAGCCTAAAAGTCGAGCTCACCTGCCGGATCACCGGGCCCTTGACATCGGTTCAGAAGCATTTTTAGCTGCCCAGACAACAGGGGATACGAGCAGTTAGTCTTTAGCTCAGATGTTTTCTCTCGTTCAGTCGAGAGGCCCCCAAGCCCCTGGTAAGAGAGAGAAAAAAAAGAACCCGACTCCACTATTCTCTTCGGTAGGTACCTTGGGCATGGTAAAGTCAGTTGATGAAGTTTGGAGGTTAGGTTGAAGACTGAAGCCCCGCTGAGACCGGGCACAATATGTCCCGTATGTACTTCCAGCACAGCGCCACTCGTATATTTCCCCGTCTCACTTCTCGCTCTTTTACTGTACTGTACTATCTCTCATCAGTGACTGATTGTGACTGTTACCTTGAGAGGTCTTTGCCCCCTGTTCAGTTGGACTAGGGACCTAAGCTTGGATTTCCATGGGGGCGTGGGGTTATCTTCCCGTCGACCTTGCCCTGGCCTGGCACGGCACCCTCAACACCAAAACCCACTCCGACCCGTACGCTATCTCCTCCACCCCCTGGAACTTGGAACTCCCACTTGGGACAGACCGGGGCCCCCTGAACCGACAAAAGAGAGACATCCCCACTTCACTGACGAAAGACGTGGGTGTGGTGTGGCCACCAGGCCCAGGAACCGAGAGAAGAGAGTCCCGTCCAGAGACCCAAACTAGAGTCACTACCGTACTGCACCGCCCATACATGGAAGGGACCGACTGGGTTAAGGTGATAATACCACCGCATTCCCCAGACGTCTTGTTCCCATCTCTTCTTCCTCGACCTTTGACTCGACTGGACCTTTTACATTGGTTTATCATTTACTTGCTCTCTTCTCATTGTTCATGTTCATGTTAGTGTGTTTGGGTTCGGTTTACGGTCTTCACATTTCACGTATCGCTTCTACTATTGCTTTTGGACAGCACATTCGACGAGTCCTCCGACACAGCCATTTAATTCGTCATCACCTAATTTGATACCGAGCTATCTCTCACTCTCTCACTCACTACCCTGAGCACGAGACTACAAATCACCCCTACTTCTCCGTCTCAACCACTTCATTCCATCAACTCTTGGTCAGCTCGGAAAGTCGACGAATGACTTGACTCACAAGTCACAACCGAAGGACGATACATCAACCGACGAACGCGAAGATTAATTGCGATTGGCCAATTGACGAACTGAACTGAACCGGATTGGATTCAACAAGGTAAGCTACAGGAAAAGAAAGCAACAAGTTGAAGTTGCGAGATGAAAAGCAATTGTCTATTACACCGCACCGTTGTCCCGTTTCACCATCTTTTTTTCTTTCCCCACATCCATTTGCAGTTGGTTGGATACGCAGGTACCGTATGTTGTCCGCAGCAAGGCACAGGCAGGCAAGCAAGCATCCATCAATAGGTGCATCATCACAAGCTATGGCTATATATCTATGCACATGGGCGGATCGTGCCGCATGCACGCTTCAGGCGCCTGGAGCTGGTCTGCGTCTTTGTCGGTCTGGCCTGGCTTGACCTGATCTGACATGATACGAGGAGAGACGAGAGGAAAGACGGTATTGTTGTATGAAATATGACAAACATCCATTGCCAAGACTGTTAGATGGAGAGCTTGGGGACACGCAGCAGTTCATGGTGCAGTCTCGGCCATCACTTTCTAACAGTTTATGGGGGGGCTCCATTGCTTTTTGGAGGGTTCGGTCCAGTGGTTCCCTTCTGCAAGTTCCATCCATGGATACGACCTGGGCTCTCTCCGCACTCAACGTTCCCGTCTTGTCCGCCCTAAGCCCCTCCAACGTCTCCTTCCCTCCTACGCCTTGCAGCGGAGCAGGTCCCCCCCTGCGATCTTGAACATTCCTTGACAACTCGTCCAGCCCGCTTCATTCAGTCTCCCTTCATTCCATTTCTGTTCTTTCCCACAACAATCAACTCAATCTCCTCCCAGGTGACTTACATGACTTGACCGACTGACATTCTTCCTCTTTTTCCCAGCCAACCGATTTCCCCTCCCTCGATTTCTTGTTCCTGTGGTGCGATTCCATCGACTTTGACCCGAACATCATCACGACTTACACCATTGATTGGTATCGACATCGACATCAAAGCACACCAACTTTCAACCTGCACGCATCTCTCTTGGATATCCAGATACGAATTGATTACAGAAAAGATCAGGAACTAAAAAAAAGAACGGATAGAAAAGAGTCGGATCGGTCTTCGGTTCGAGTGGTCGCGCAAACCAGCCGGTGGAAGCGTCCCTCGATGATCTGAACGTCGGCATCGATTGTCAGCGGCAATCGCACGCAATGCTGAGAAACCAACCAATGCGAGCCAGTCTCCAGGTGGCCCCTCTATCTATCGCCAAATCTCGAACCGACTCATCTGGAGATGCTTCATCGACCTTGGAGAACGACACCAGCCTCTACTCACAATCACAAATGACACCACCCGCTACTCCCAATGGCTCGCAGGAGGACCTTTCACCCGCTCCTTCACCTCAGTATACTCCTCCTCCGGCCTTTCACAACTTCCTGCGAGCCTTTTATCCTTTTAACCCCAGCTATGTTATGACCGACTCGAGTGTGACGTTGCCTCTTAACGAGGGCGACGTTGTGTTAGTGCACTCTATCCATACCAATGGATGGGCTGATGGTACATTACTTATCTCTGGTGCCCGGGGATGGCTACCGACCAATTATTGCGAGGCCTATGAGCCTGATGATATGTGCAACCTGCTGAAGGCTCTTTTGAACTTTTGGGACCTGCTTAGAAGTACATCCGTCAATGATAAGGAGATCTTTGGTAACCAGGAGTTCATGAAGGGCATCATTGCAGGTGTTCGATTCTTGTTGGTAAGCTCAATCGATATCCAACTCATCAACCTAGTCTTCTAACACGATGCACAGGAACGAACAAACTGCCTCAACAGAGAGTCCCTGTTTATTCAAAGGAGCGATAGCTTGCGCAAGTGCCGCAAGTCTCTTCTGTCAGAGCTCTCATCGCTAGTCAAGACTGCTAAGCGTTTACAAGAAACACAGCGTCTCGAAATCACTCCCGTGGAAGATGTAAATGACATAATCGACGAGATGATTCTTAAGGCTTTTAGAATTGTAACAAAGGGCGTTCGTTTCTTGGACGTTCTTGAGGAGGATCGGAGGGCACGTGCACCTGCAGCCGTTACAGTTATGGATACAGTTCTCGAAGAATCATGCGTGCCTCCAACACCACCAGCTGATCAATCAACTTTCGATGAACAAAGCCAACGAAGCCCCATTGACACTGATTCTCAGGCTGCCGCTAGTGTCGCTGCTTCTGAGTCGAGTGAGACCACCCAAACCTCGACTTCTATTTTCACGAAACGGCTATCATCACTCAGCTCTCGTACTGGCCCGAGCTCGCATAGATTATCTCAAGGAAGCCTTGCCCAAGCACACCGCCTGTCTGCTACCATCTCTCACAGAGTCTCTCTCGCTGGGCCTTCATCAGTGTCGCGAGCTCATCACCTTGTCACTGAACGTCTCAACCGCAGCCACGATACCTTCCTGTCCCACCTGGGTTCTTTCATCGGTCGCCTGCATCTCCAATCCCAGTCGCGCCCCGAACTAGCTTCTGCTATCCGTCAGTCTGCACTATCTGGTGGGGAATTGCTTGCAGTAGTTGACGGGGTCTATGACCACATTAACTCGAGCTCAGAGGCTCTCGCCCGAGCTCGGTCCACCATGTTTGCACGAATCCAAGATCTCGTCTTTTCTGGCCGCGATACCCTTGTCAGTGCGACCTCTGAAGATGCCGATTTGATTATGCCTCACGACAACACAATGCTTCTTGCATCCGCTACAGGCTGCGTTCGAGCCGCTGGCGACTGTGTTGCCAAGGCAAAGTCAGCCATCGAACGCATCGGCGATTTTGAATTCGAGCTTGAGACTAGCAGCCTTGGTATCGATCTGAGTATTTTGGACATTGACTCAGAGGAGCGAGCTAGAACACCGTCCGTTTCAGAGCCCAATGTACCCGATACTGCCAGCATCGCCGGCTCGAACCGAACTTCAAACTCGTCAAACCCTGCCTCACGACGCCTCACTGTTGTCGCAATTGACAAGCCCCTCCCCGAGGTCCCCCAGGTGACGACACCTACTGATGAACAGACCATTCATCAATCACCTAGCTCCTCTCGACGCTCTTCAGTCGTGGATGACAATATCTCGAGTGTTGCATCCTCTATTTCCTCACTCCGACCCTCGCTTCCTCCTCTCCCCAAGCTTTCTACTGCGATTCTGGCAAACGAGGAATACAGTCCTGTCGATAACCATGACAGCGACTTCAACTCGTCTTCCCGCTTTGACAGTATGGTTGCGTCCAGTGCTGGCAGCAGTGCCACTTACCTTAGCCGCGACTCTGAAGTCAGCATTGTCTCGCAGTCATCAACTCGAGCCACTACGCCCGACCACACTCTTGCTCCTCAGAAGCAACCCTCCCTGTCAAACCTAAGCAATGGCGGAAGTTCGTCGCAAATGGAGGAAGTCGACGTCGAGTCGAGGCTTATGGAGAAGACGTTTGCTCACGAACTCATGTTCAACAAGGAGGGCCAGGTCACTGGTGGCTCACTACCAGCTCTTGTCGAGCGTCTGACCACTCACGAATCTACCCCTGATGCCATGTTCGTTTCTACCTTCTACCTCACCTTCCGCCTTTTCTGTACCCCAGTCCGATTTGCCGAGGCGCTTATTGAACGGTACGACTATGTTAACGACTCCCCTCATGTGGCTGGACCTGTCCGCTTGAGAGTATACAATGCTTTCAAGGGCTGGCTCGAATCCCATTGGAGGGATGAGACCGACCGCAATGCTCTCGATTTGATCATGCCCTTTGCCGAATTTAAGCTGGCTTCCTCACTGCCTTCTGCTGGAAGACGTCTTTTTGAGCTCGCTCAGCGCGTCTCTGGTGAGGGTTCTTTGGTGCCTCGACTTGTCTCGTCCATGGGCAAGACCAATACCTCTGTTGCTTCATACGTCCCTGCTGACACACCACTGCCTATCCCTGCTATCACCAAGGGTCAGCTCGCCTTGCTCGCTTCTTTCAAGATGGGTAACGCTCAGCCTAGTATTCTCGATTTCGACGCTCTCGAGCTGGCTCGCCAATTGACTATTAAGCAAATGAACATCTTCTCCTCCATCCTTCCAGAGGAGCTCTTGGCTTCTCAGTGGATGAAGAATGGTGGAGTCGATGCTCCTAACGTCAAGGCCATGTCATCTCTGTCCACTGATCTGTCAAACCTCGTCGCCGAGACCATTCTCCAGCAGCAAGAGGTCAAGAAGCGGGCGCAGGTGATCAAGCAATGGATCAAGATCGCACATCAGTGTCTCGAGCTCCACAACTACGATGGGCTTATGGCCATTATTTGCAGCCTCAATAGCAGCACCATCAGCCGTCTTCGAAAGACTTGGGATGCCATTTCCACAAAGCGAAAGGATATGCTCCAAAACCTCCAAGATCTCGTTGAGCCTTCCCAGAATAACAAGGTCTTGCGAACCAGACTTCACGACCACGTCCCTCCCTGCTTGCCCTTCCTTGGAATGTACCTGACCGATTTGACTTTTGTCGACATTGGCAACCCTGCTACCAAGCAGATGTGCCTCGGTCCTGAGTCTGAGGAAGATGGCGCTGGTGGTATCACCGTCGTGAACTTTGACAAGCACACTCGTACAGCCAAGATCATTGGGGAGCTACAGCGGTTCCAGATCCCTTACCGACTTACCGAGGTGCCTGACATGCAGGACTGGATGTCTTCTCAAATTAGCCATCTTCGTGACAGCGAAGAGGGCAACGCCAATGTCCAAGTTACATACTATCGCAAGAGTCTCCTCCTGGAGCCTCGCGAAACTGCTAACCGCCCTACTGTTGAATCATCAGCTGCTTCTATCGTTGGCGTCGGAGGTAGCCGTGCTGATCTGTTCAGCTGGATTTCTCGCGACCGCGGTACTTCAACACCTACACCTACCCACATATAAGGATTTATTGTCCTTCGTTTCGACCTATCGGGCTACCACAATTTACCAGTACCATCACCACACGCACATATTACCTCCCACCAGTAACTACTTCATCTTTGATACCCCCCATTTTGTTTGAACTTTATCAGCAGATGGGAAACATCGTCATGTTCCTTATGACCTCTATATCCATCAGCACAACGGCGTTATCTACATTTGGGTCTCACATTTATGCTTTACGGTATTCACATCAGTTCCCGCGGGTGGAACTAGATCGGGAATTTTATCACGAAACGCGAATTCTCAGTCCTTCGAGACTTGAAGCAATTATCAAGTTTGAATTCAAACGCCGCGACCAATTTTTGGCCTTCGACAACTTTCAGGCTACAGCTTCATCACGAAACAGTTCGCATTTATATCTTCTACTTCTTAACCTTCTTTCACTTTCTTTTTTTGCATCCCTGTATTATTCTCTTCGGGTGAAGAACGGACAGGGCATGGAAAACCAAAAACCTTTACGGCACAGGTGCATTCGGAAACGGCCAGCAACGATGGACAGGATTCGTGGGCTGCCTATTGATTTTCGGGTTCTTTTTAATGTATTCTCAATGACGGAGGGTCGAAACTGTTTTGGCTCGCCTGTGCGAGGACGAGTAGATTTGATTCTTATTGTATGATCAAGGAAGGCCTGCCGCCTATGTTTCTTTTTTAAACGTTGTACTTCTGGGAAAGGAGTCTGGTGACACAGGACAGGAGGTGGACGGAAAAGAAAGACAAAAAGGATGTATTCTGCAATAGAATAGGAAGAGCAAAAAGAAGAATGAGGATTCATTGTCCTTGAAACAAATTCCCTGCAAACGTGACTTTGTTGCTAATGTATTTTGTATGCCGCGTATGCACACGGAAACCCAGTGAGAGAAACAGGCTCTGTATAGATATGAATCGTGTATGGCGTGAATCATCGTGGTTGCTACTCTAGAATAGACTAATAAAGAACTAGTTGCCCAATGCCATTTTATCATAGATTCCCAAGGATATTTCCAAGATCCCATAAAACAACTGTCTCATACAATGTCATAAGCCGTCAAAGGCCAAAGCCTACCTCCTGTAGCTAGCTATATTATGGCTTATTCGCATGACTATATGTACCATCGAAACGCCCGAAATGATGAGTATTAATATAAGTTTGCTTATATATATGTTTGACCTTTTGGTGGTTTACGATTCGATGTCTGTTGTCTTCTTATTCGTAGGTGCGACAACAACGTCTTCGATATTCTCATCGCTGAACTTGAGGTCCTCTTCCATGGAGACAGAGTCCTGGATCTTCATGAAGATCACCGGAGCGGCGATGACAAGCGACGCGCCGAGGCAGGCCCATGTTGCAGCAAAGATGGTATCGAATGGCTTGCCAAGGCCATCCATACGCCAGAAGATGGCAGCGCCAGCGGACTGAATACCCTTGTAGAAACCTAGAAGCCCAGTTAGTGACCTGTTTCGAAGGAATAAGAATGAAAGAAGTACGAAACTTACCAGCGAAGTTGGCTGTCTTGCGGCCAGAGTTGGAGAGTGCGCCCATGTACCAGTAGATACAGGTTTGCCAAGCAGCATCGAAGAAGCCGTAGAAAAAGTAGAGAATCATAGGGGCAACGAATCGCTTGGCACCGTCGTCCCAGTCAACCTTGTCGTCTTCATTGGCAGGGTTCATGGCGATCTCGCGAGGTCGCTGATCCTTTTGCCAAGCATAACCACCGCCCCAGATGGCGAAGGTCAAAATAAATAGGGCGACGAGCGAGATTTTCGCACGGACACTGCGACGAACGCTGGAGATATCGAGGGCATAACCGATGATGAGAGCACCGAAGATCTGAGCAAGCCAGTAGAGCAAGTTGTTGAGAGCACGAGTGCGGACGTTGAACTGGGCGAGGTTCATGTTGACGTTCTGGTAGGTATAGAAGATGTTGGAGGAGAAGAACATGGGGAAGAGGAGGACGACCCACGGGGCGTCGTAGAGGGTTTCCCAGAGGCCCTTGATTTCTGTGCTCCAGGAAGGGTTCTTCATGACGATGACCTTTGTGTTGTCCTCGCGGACGATCTTGTCGGCGTCGCAAATCATGAGGGCGAGGATAGCACCGATAGCCATGAGGGCAATGAAGGCAGCGTACGTTCCATCGGACACGGGGCCTGCTTTCTTATTGATGTTTTGAGCGAGGGGGATCTAGGATTCTTGTTAGTAAAACTTGATAAGGAAACCACCTGGGTGAAACTTACCAGAGAACCAATAACTGCACCCATGTTGAAGATAACCCAGAACCAAGAGATGTATCGTCCCTTGCTCTGTTCAGGAGGATACGACATCATGATGGAACCTTGAGCAGCCCACAACAGTCCAGCGCAAACACCGAGCAGAGCACCTGCAAAGACAACGAAAGGCATGTTCTGGGTATGCGAGTAGCACAAGAATGAAGCAGCATAGACACAGTATCCGAGGCCACCAATTGATAGTGTCAACCTCAGTCCCAGCCTGTTGGCGAAAGTTCCAGCAAAGAAACCAACGACAGCAAAAGTGCTGTAAAGAGCAGTGTTGGCATGATCCTGGGCCTCGTTGGAGACCTGACCACCGCCACCGAGACCTGTCAGGGCGTTGAACATGCCGGGACATAAGAAACAGACAATTGAGACCATGAAGAGCTGGACCTTGGGCGAAGCGTACCAGAGCTCCATACGTCCGAGGCGAAGAGTCTTGTACATCCATCCTTTAGGACGGAAACCGGGAGCGGGAGCATCTGAGTCTGCAGTTTCCGAAGACGCCTGAGCGACGTTGTTATCCTTTTCGTGTGTAGACATTGTGGGTGTAGTGTGAAGTCGATGATTGATATGATGTGAAGTTGAAGCGACCGAGGGTCAATGCCCCAATGTGTGCGATGTAAAGAGAGAGAAAACCAATTAAGACAAAACGATGAATGAGTATTGATGGATAGATGGATGGATAGTAAAGAAGGATTGTCCAAGTGGACGGACGTCGCAGAATTAAAGTAGTTTGGAGCCAGGCGAGAAGAAAAGATGGAGAGATCCAATCAAGACACACGACAAATCGTCGAGTTCCCCAAAAATAAACCACCCCTGTTTTTATTGCCCTTTTTCCCTATCGAGTTTATCACGAGAAGGCGAAGAGTTGGACTGAATTGGACGTTCAGGGGTCTAAGCTCGTGAGATCAAAAGTCGGATGGTGGGTGGATGAGATGGAGACTGGAGACATGGAGACATGGAGACATGTAGATGGATGGGGGAGGAGCTGTAAGGGTACGGTACAGTACAGGTGGTGCGGGTAACTTACAGGGGGGGTTGGATGCAACAATGGGATGTCGATCTGCTTACGCTTCAGGACAGTGGCGCTTTGTCAAGAGTAACTAAGAGTTGTGTTAGTAAAACTATCTATCGCCCGAGGTACTACGTAGTAAGTGAGAGTCTTTTGTATAAATGCAGTAGCTGCGAGTATCGAGGAGCTGAGTCTTTTGTTACGCAATGATTGCATATGGTTATCAAAGAGATGGTGTACCAGATCAAACGGTTATTCAACGACTTTCTCGGCCGAGATGTAACCTAAGTACTGAGTTGGAGAACGGGGGTAAGTGCCGGCCAAGGCCAAGGCCGAGACCAAGACCAAGTACCACTTGAAGATGCATCCTTTGCTTGTATGGACTAGAGTCATAACTAATCTAATTCCTACCAAATCTAAACGTCTTTCTCATCCCCAGTTTCCAAACCCTCAAAAAGCCTCGTTATCCTGGGGTAACAATCCTCGTCGATGAGAGGCTGTTCGCAGCATCAGACTTCAGTGGCGCCCCTACAACGGTAACGTCCGCTCGCGAAGGAGACTAGCAGGCCCCTAAATGGTAACGTTCAAGTAAATTTAGCTTAGGAATGTCCCAAGAAGAAAGGACTGAGACTCTGTATGAATGCTACAGTAACGAGACGCTGATACATTTGCTTGGGGTGGCATACATGAGCTGGTAATTTCCTGCAGGTTGAGGTCATTCATCGCATTTCCAATACTGTCTAAGCTCAAGGTAATACGATTAAGCAGATTATCAACCTCTTTTGATATTGGTCTCATGCAATGCAATGCTGCAGATTGAGGCGATAGACATTTTTAGCTGGTTGAGGTTCCTGCTGCTCGGGCCCGCCTTACCGTTAAACCCCAGGTGGAGCTGGAGCTGGAGGTCCATTTTTAGAGCTCTTCCAGGGGAAAGGCCCGAATATTAGACTCCGTGATTGGTGGTCTCGTCCCAAATCTCGAGACCCTACAGCAGAGAACGAAACGGGTGATTTTCTTGCATCTCGCCTGTTCACTCTTAAAAATAAAAGTAAGATATCGATACGAAGATGCACGGCCCATTACGAGAATTACATATATAGGCCATGACACCTACTGTGCCTCTCATTCATAGGTGTTGTTCATGCCACCTACGGTGCGATAATTCTCTGATTTGTTTTCTGACCTCTCCTCTAAGACGGGGCCCGTAATTCCCGGCACTGCCTTCTTGTTCTCGTAACATCCGATATTACATACTTTTTCATTTATCACGATAACCCAAGTTTCTCAGTCTAGTTCTATCCTAGCTCTGAGTCTGCGGCCAGTCCAGTCCAGCCCACTCAAGCCAAGCTATCGCTGTCTCCATCTCTAAAGCTCCGACCGTACCCAGTTAATTTACACCCGCATGTAACGTTTCGCCCAAGCGGATACTATGATACTACAATGTCTTACCCTTTTCCCCAGCGGTTACTGATTGTCCATTGTCGTTACCAATTGTTCGAAACATGCATGTCCAAGTTGGTCTTGGCTTCTGTCAGCTGCCATTTACATCGGTCAATCCTTCAAAGTTATCTGTGTCTACCTATCTTGCAGTACACATGATGATCAAGATAAAGGCGGCCGATTGTTGCACCTCCGCAATAACACGATTACGGTGGGTTATAGATATCAATATGGAGCACCTTCTCCATCGTCCTGTGTAGATTAGTATCGCATGTCCCGTTATCACTTGCAATTGATCTGGCTGTGACTTTGCCAATCTAAGACCCTGCATGAAGACCTCGGCCAGTTGCATGACCACCAATCTATCTTTCCTGCCATCATGACATATTCTGACCTTCAGTAGTCATGATCACCGATTTCTCACTAACATCTCGCACTTGTTTGTAAACAAATCCTTTTGTTACGACACTCATGATGAATTGATAAGCTCTCGGAAAAAGTGAGATACTTTGACGTCTCTGACAGAACGGGCGTGTATTTATGATTTACGAATTCGACTTTCTTTGTTGTCATGATAACAAAACAAAAAGAGAATGGACTTGAAGAATCTGGCAAATGTTGCACATCATTAACCTGCTGGAAGCCGTATGTAGGTCACATTTAATGATGGCTCAACCAACTGCTGCACATGACCACGAGTACAAACACTGATAGAATGGAACGTCGGCCTCGAATAAGGATGGCATTCATTCTGTACTGCATTATAAACCTTGATGACCTGAATTTGGAGCCTATCACGAAAGTCAAGCAAAGCACATAACCATATGCCAGATCAAGTCAAGGGTACAGTCATTCCAGATCACGACTGCCACAAGTAATATAGACGATTGACTTTCTCTTAAGGTTGAACAAAAGAGAATAATTTCTTTCCCATGCCATCCAATGTCATGATTCTCCAATACATGATGCTTGAATGGCCTTATATTACATTATCATCACGTGAGCCTGACAAATTCTGTCGGTCTGATTGGCTCGGACGAGATCGGGGCGCCACCCTGACGTACCAGCGGATTCCGGGTTCAATCGCCTTTTAGCACCGAGGACCCGGGTGTGGGTTTGGGTTTGAAATCATAGTCAGTCACTCACTAAACGCTTGCCTTTCCTTTCACCTCACCTCACTTCCACAACCACAACCACATGCGCCAACCATGTTTACTTCAAGATCCGTAGCCAGACTCGTCCTGCGACGAGGATGCTCTCATGTTTCGCTTCCCTTGAGGCAATTCTCAACATCGAGGCCTCTCGCTGTTAGCTACCACTCCTACACTCTTCCCACCCACACCTCTACGCCTCCTAGAAACGACGACGTTCCCGAAACATCGATAACACAACCTGATCCTCTACCCAAAGTTCACGAGACTCGCCCGCCTCCCCAACAGCCTCAGCATCCCCAACCGCCAAAGCAGCAAGAAGCAGCGACTACAAAGACAACACTGCAGAATGACGTTCCCGCCACCTCGGCATCAGCTCCGAAGCTAGACGAGAAGGAAGCACAGAAGCCGAAGGCCGCTCGGCCACGATCTAAGCTACGCCCGCGTAAGGCTGCCATGAAGTTGACGCCCTCTGCGGTGGAACAACTAAGAGAGCTGCTCGATCAGCCTGAGCCGAAACTCATCAAGGTCGGCGTACGGAACCGAGGATGCAGTGGTTTGGCGTATCATCTCGAATACGTTGACAAGCCTGGCGCTTTCGACGAAACGGTTGAGCAGGATGGTGTCCAGGTCTTAATTGACAGCAAGGCTCTTTTCAGCATTATTGGAAGCGAAATGGATTACATCGAGGACAAGCTCAACCAGCGCTTCGTGTTCAAGAACCCTAATATCAGTAAGTTGTTATTTTGTCCGGTAGCTTCAACACGATACTAACGTTTACTTTCAGAGGAAGAATGTGGTTGTGGAGAATCTTTCATGGTATAATCAGTTCATCTTTTGGTCATCGCATCAGCGTCGGTATCAGCATATCACGAAACCAAACCACCACACTTAACGAAACGACGGCATGCATGCTTGGATATGATATGGACCAAGAGAAACATGCTTGACGTTTGCATATTACCGGGAATAGACAAGAGAACAATCCTGTGACGAGCAGGGTAATGTTGGGAGCTTATCAATAAGCAGCACGAAATCGGCGGGCAGAAGGAATGAAAGCCAGTACCTCGAATCGGCATAATCATCGGCGTTGGGTTAGACTGGAGAGGCATCATCTCCCTTTGTTTTGAGAAAACACATTATACTTATATATACCATTGTGCTTTTTGGGTATGGAATCAAAGATACGTGTCATGGAGAAATGACCGAGGAGCATGTTACTTGTCAAACTCACATCATTAATATTGGTGATACAAGCTTGACTCCCCTGCCACGCCGTACTGCCCAACTCTGTGACTAAAAAAAAAAAGATTCCAATGTGCTTCACGAGATCTTGGGAAGACGTAGTATTTCTGGCCTGAAAGCTTCGTACATAATGGCATCCTTTTACAACTTGATACCAAGTTAGCTGTCTCACGAATTTGTACTTTTGTATCACGAGGATTGTAAGTTATACCACATAGTGTACCAGACGCGGCAAACTTCTAGAACACAAATGAAAGTTTCACCGAGTAACCCTTATGGCCTTATCAAAATGACCATCTAAGAAAGTCATAAGTGTAGAGATACCCAGATATGGAATGGTTCATCTTCGCCAGCGTACTACTCGAAAAGCTCAAATGTCAATGTGCAAGAGAATGGTTCGCGGAAGATCACATGATCTCGTGATATGTGTTGCTTTATATGTTGGCGTCGAACACGCCCTTCGACTGTCGCGCCTGTATTTGTGACTAGATTTCTAGACATCTTCTTATTTCAACTTTGTGATTGAAACAAACTGCAAACTTATAAACCTACGATCATTTGAACTGAACCCGACGCATCTCACACCTCGAAGCTCTCCATCGACTGTGACCCAACATACCTAGTCCTCTGTTACACGGCAATGGTGACAGTCACCAAGAGACCCCTTGAGGAATCTCAAGAGGACCGCAAAGTAAAGGTTTCAAAGACCATAAAGGAAACGTCACCTACCTCATCACTTGCCTCACCTACCACCACCGATTTTACCACAGCTATGGCACCTCAGCTCGCACTCATCGAATCGTCTACCCGTACAACATTCGAGAAGCAAGTATGGTCACTCTTATGTCAGATCCCACGGGGAAGTGTCTCAACATATGGCATCATGGCTGCTCATCTAAAGTCTTCCCCGCGAGCAGTTGGTAACGCGCTGCGTCGAAATCCGTTCGCGCCAGAGGTACCATGCCATCGTGTTGTCGCTACAGGTGGTGCATTGGGCGGATTCAAAGGCAAGTGGCCCAAGGATGGAGAGGGTATCACACTTGATGAGAAGAGGAAGCTTTTGAAGGGTGAGGGAGTGAGGTGGGATGAGAAGGGCAAGGTGATTGGGACTCCATTTGGAGGGTTCATATGATGTTGAGATGATATGGTCTATGAATAGGAACAAAAGACTGAGTGATGTGCTGATCTGGATAATCATGAAGTTTGTAGTCAGACGAACCTTGATGAAATAAAGTCCCGTATTGTTTATCATTGGATTCAACTCTCTGGACGTCCTTCTCCATGTGGGGAAAATACTCGGTCAACGACACAGCGAACATGCCTGTTGTAGCCGAAACCCGGAGACGATTGAGCACCAAAATGAAGACTCAAAAACTGATTTAATTCGTTACTTCACCTTGGAAGTCCAAGACCACTTCCGAGACGGATTTGCATCACCGATTTACCATGTTTCGGTGGTCTTGTGCCGGGGTATTATAACTCGAATAGGTTTGGCGGTTAGTCAAACAGTGGATCTGTAAAGCCCTGAGACAAGAGGTCAGAGGCCTGAACTGGATCATGGTCACCGAAGATTGGGATGTGTGACTGATGAGGTCGCGGGAACAGTAGGTGAGTGTTTTAAGTCATGTTATACGTGAGACGTATGAGCATGGATACGGTTGTGTTTTGAGTGAGCCGGTCAAGACGTTGGATAACTGAGAGAAATACAAGTCAAGCTACCTAAGTAATTAACTTCATTATTCTCAACGGCTAAAAAAGGCTTTACCTAACAGAACCTGACGTTTCGTCATGGTCCAGTTTGAAGTGAAATTCGGTGAATGTCTTTTTCCGTAGCTGCTAGACAAAGTTGAACCTGCACCTCCAAAAATTAGCCCGACAAATCCCGTGCCCAAAAACAAAAGAGTGGATCTTAACCACCACAGAACAGACGGGATAGGCCCTGGTCAGTGTGGTCTGTCTGGCAGTCCTGATTTGATACGGCAGCGTAGCGTACCTTAGCTTCTCGTCATCCGAAAACCTCTTTTTCTACCTCCTGTGACGAACGATACAAGTTTACTTCTCCCCCCATACCCGTATCCTCCCTATCCTCAATCTTGAATCCCCTCATACTCCCCTCTCCCCTCCTTACCATATTCACAATGTTCAAGCTCGGCCGCAGTCGCGCTGTGGCTTCGGCCCTCAACGCCTCAAAGGTAACTTTTTATCTATCAAACCAAGCTTGTCTTGGCTTCAATCCATGAAAACTGTTGCTAACCCTGTGTCTTTATTCAGTTTGCTGCTCCTGCCGCTCGCTTCCCTGGTGTCCAACAACGACGAGCTCTTAGCATTCACGAGTACCTCTCTGCCGACCTCCTCCGACAGGTAAGGTTTTATCTACACAAGTCCCCCTTTTAGCGATCGTCGATACTGCGAACGAGAGACAAAAAAGGCGAAAAAATAATGGGCCCGCCATTATCACGATCTTATCAACAAAGTTGCTAACCACAAATCACTTCAACAGTACGGTATTGGTGTCCCCAAGGGTTCCGTCGCAAAGTCCGCCAAGGAGGCCAAGGAGATCGCTGAGAAGATTGGCAACGATGATATGGTTATCAAGGCTCAGGTCCTTGCTGGTGGCCGAGGAAAGGGTACCTTCGACAACGGTCTCAAGGGCGGTGTCCGTGTCATCTACTCTCCCCACGAGGCTGAGATGTTCGCTCAGCAAATGATCGGCCACAACCTCGTTACCAAGCAGACGGGTGCTGGCGGCCGTCTCTGCAACTCTGTCTACATTTGCGAGCGCAAGTTTGCTCGTCGTGAGTTCTACCTCGCCATCCTCATGGACCGCCAGAACCAGTGCCCCGTCATTGTTTCTTCTTCCCAGGGTGGTATGGACATTGAGACCGTCGCCAAGGAGACCCCTGACGCTATCAACACCAACTACATCGACATCAACGTCGGTGTCACTGACGAGACTGCCCGCGAGATCGCTACCAAGCTCGGCTTCAGCGAGCAGTGCATCGAGGAGGCCAAGGACACCATCCAGAAGCTCTACAAGATCTTCCGCGAGAAGGACTCTACCCAGATTGAGATCAACCCCCTGTCTGAGACTTCTGACCACCAGGTTCTCTGCATGGATGCCAAGTTCGGTTTCGACGACAACGCCGACTTCCGACAGAAGGAGGTCTTTGAGTGGCGCGACACCACCCAGGAGGACCCCGATGAGGTCCGCGCCGCCGAGTTCAACCTCAACTTCATCAAGCTTGACGGTGATATCGGCTGCCTTGTCAACGGTGCCGGTCTTGCCATGGCCACCATGGACATCATCAAGCTGAACGGTGGCCAGCCCGCCAACTTCCTCGACGTTGGTGGTGGTGCCACTCCCGCCGCCATCAAGGAGGCTTTCGAGCTCATCACCAGCGACTCCAAGGTCACCGCCATCTTCGTCAACATCTTCGGTGGTATCGTCCGATGTGACGCCATCGCCACTGGTCTTATCAAGACCGTCGAGAGCTTGAACCTCAAGATCCCCATCATTGCCCGTCTCCAGGGTACCAACGTTGAGAAGGCTCACCAGCTCATCAACGACTCCGGTCTTAAGATCTTCTCCATTGATGACCTACAAACCGCTGCTGAGAAGTCTGTCCAGCTGTCCAAGGTCGTCAAGATGGGTAAGTCTCACTGAAATTCCCCGAATGTTTGTCACTTCTGATTGTTAACATGTCTGTAGCCCGTGACATCGATGTCGGTGTCGAGTTCAGCCTCGGAATCTAAGCAAATAAAAATTGCAACCCCCTGTGTTAGATGAGCATGGGTGAGGATATGATATAATAACAATACGTGAGACTGAGCTCCAGAGAGGCTACGGTTCCAAACAAAACCGGGAGTGGGAATTCAAACACTCATGAAAGAGTGGGAGATGCGGATGGATATTCCTGTTTTTTAATTTAGCATGCATCGGTCGGTCTTGGAGCTCGCTGCTCTTGAGGCGATGAGTTCAGATGCTCTCGAATATGTCCAAATGGTTCGATAGAAAGGACGGATGGTTCAAAGGATGAACGGGCGACATGGTCTCCAACAAGATGAATTTTTCGCGTATCCACGTCCTGCAGCTTTGCGTCCATGTCATGCTGATTTCCTTTGTGTGATCCTTATTCTCCATCAGACTCTGGAGCTGAAGGACTTGAAAACAAAAGCCAAACTTGATGAGCTGAGTTGAGCTGCGCCGAACGAAGGGTGGAGGGGCGAGCATCAACTGAACTATGTGAGAGTATAAGTTGGCCGAAGCCTGACCGCGTATCCCCAGTCACTTGACTGGTAATGAATCATCTATCATGACGAGTGATGATGGGTAGGTATATAAGTTTGAGCGCAGGAGAACAGTCGTGGCGATGAAAGACAGAGATCCTCTCCTTTATCATGGATAGGATAGAATTTGAGTCATAGAATGGGCCGATGCGGTATTCTATATGAAGACGATTCGATGTTTCGGTCCAGACTCGGCTAATCAACATCTCGGATGTAAGGATCCCCATTTCATGCGTCGTCTCAGAGCCGTAGAATAGTCTCATGTGGATATCATGAGTTGACTGGCTTTGCAATCAGTGCAGACGCTGATTCAATCAATCTACTTGGGACTTGGCGCAATATGTGAGAATGTTTAACCAGGAATCCATGGGATTGGAGCTGGAACAATTGTAGATGTGAAGCTAACAGGCATACATCGGGAGCAGGACTTGGCGATCTCTTGGGCACATCATCACGCCACAACCCAAGTCAGCCTCAACTTTGAGATCTCAACCCCTTTTGGACGTCGTCGTTAAACCCAAGACTTCTTGAAGAAAAGGCAATCTAGTTATGATGATCAGACCATTAAACTGGAACAAGTCTACCTCCCTTATCTTACTTATCCTCGGTTATTCCTCTGAGAAGACCATGACCCATGCCGTTTCTCAATCATGACTGATAAGAGAGAAAGAAATTTTCAACAACATGTACATGTACTTCTCGTTGGATTCTCCTGACGTCGTCGAAATCGGGTTGAGCCGCAAAGTGGCGAGCCAATAGGTTGTCATTCCGATGTTTGGTCGAGTTAGACGTTCCATCTTTCAAGATCCACTGCGGAAGAGCCGCAATGCAATGCAAGTTATAGAGGTAGAAGGAAGACATGGATGAGTTTGCGAATGCCGACGCAAGACCGATCAAGAGCTGGATGTATCTGAGATGGAATCTGTAGATGGGAGGTAAGTATCGTGATTACTGCATGAAGAGTGTTGAGATTATGAGCAATGATGGCATATGAGGTGATCAACTAAAACATTTACACTTATACTTCGTTAATGTAGTTGAGTTGCCCTGGAGTAAAGAACAAAGCCACAAGTCGAGTGATGTTGGGTGTATACTAGTATATCAAGTATTCCAACATCACGACAGCAAACATATCAGTAGCCAAGTCTTTAATATAATGAACTGCAATAGTGTTACGATAGAAAGCAGTCTGCTTGTACTGTCTATACTACTTACCAAATACGTGAGATTAATCGTTCGTTTCCCTCACGTGCCAACGCCTCTAAACAACCATCACCATCATCACTAACAAGCATCGAAACACCCAAAAGCATAACAAGAATAAACTATTTGTCAAAGTGCCAATCCTTTCCCAAGCCAAATAACTTTAATGAGACCACTCTTGGCTTCCCGCTCATATCCACGTGTCCCCTTGCATGTTAACCCCCCTTCCAAGCCATTGGTAGAGTCAACAAGACCCTTTCCTTTTTCCAGCAAAACGCGGGGAAATGGAGATTTCTTGGTGAGGGGAAGACTACCTTATTGACTTTAGAGTGCGCCATTATTATTACACCATGTTACGGAAATGTCTTGGCTCTGGGGAAAAAAGAATAGAGAATGAAGGGTATAAAACGAGTTGGAGCAAGCGGTAAAAAGTGAGGGCATCGCCATGTGCATCACTGATTCCCGAGCCCACTTCTTTTCCGGACGTCTCTCGGTGTCGAGCAGGAGAAGGGCTGCGGGACGGGGGACGGGGGTACGGGGGTTGCAGGGGTTGCAGGGGTAAGTCTTGGATGGCTTCTCTTTTTTTGCTTTAGAGTCGGTCCAGGTCCACATCCTTATAGCAAAATATTAGGATCGAGTCGGAATCTCAAAGGGCATAAATACCCAAGGGGCCCTCTTTCTTTCTGAAGTTGTCTTTGGTTGATATTCAGTCCTTTAGTCTCATTCACTACCAAGAGAGGTGCTCAAGTACACTTTAAGATACAACACCAGTCTCATCTACACACCACTTCTGCATCTACACAACTTCAACATCAACTTCACTCTTCATCATGCCTTCTTCCGTCAAGAACTGGTTCGCTCGTCACTGCGCTCCTCCACCACCTCTCACAAACAACCCTCAATGTCCCTGCACAACTTGCTTCAATGGAGGCTCTCACTCCAACAACTCAGCCTCATTCTCCATGTCCTCAGAAACAAGACCTTCAGGGCCATCAAGATTCAACTCAGACAATGCCTCTCTCAGTAGCGCCACGACTGTCGCTGCCTCATCATACATGGAGACACCCATCAAGCAATAATCATAACCTACCAACGGACCAATCAGTTTGACTGACTGACCCTGGTCTTAACGAATTACTACCGGAACGAATAGCGAGTTTGATGCTTCATCTTTTAATATTTTCTCTTATACCCGCTGGCGTCGGTCGGAATCAACAAGGATAAGGATATTCAGGTACCTATACAGAACAGAGTACAAGGGATATTGCAGCTGAAAAACAATCTTACGGGGCCGAAGTGGACTCCCTCATGTGGAGTCTTGTCGATGCGGTTCGGATCCGAGGCGGAGCTCATAGATACCTAGATACGTACAGCGATCCTTGGAATCCAGGACAGAATCTGTAATTGAGATTGGATCGATATGTTATCAGTGGATTTTAGTCTAGACTAATCTATATAGGTATCTAAGCCTCAATTTACAAACTTGAGATTTTCTGCAGACCTAATTTGCATTATTCTATGAATATGTATAGCCAAGCCTACACAGAGTAGTATATGCAAATGTTATAAGAGGTTATTCCTCAGGGCTACTGATGGCATCCAGTCTTGACATAGATATGATGTTAGTTAATATGTTGGTTTTTCCCTTGAAACCTGCAAAGATGTAAGAGATGCACAAAGTGAGTAAACATGACCATGAATGACTGACTGTACGAAGCAGACTACTGGGTGACTCTAGAAAGTTAAAGATCAATATACGTCATCGTCCTGCCAAGCTTTAAGTTTGGCAACAAGTTAGATGAGATGATGATTCTACATGTTTGACCAAGAGGCTGATCTCTAACACCGATCATAATGGATTAGCTCCCGTGTCTTGCGGCCCCACCCGGCGTCAGCTCCGGGCCGAGAGCTTACTTGGGTATCAGATCATCAAGATTAAGAACTCTCGCAGTAAATCAGCACTTCACATCCAAAAGCAAGGGCTGCACTTGATGATATGCCCGTCACAATTGTAAGAAGTGAGGCCACTAAATCATAATATAAACTTGGATAGACCCTTACTATAGATCAAGCAAGTTCAGTCTTCTCGGAAGATTGCACAAAGATAAGTAGCAGCTGGATAATATCCACACTCTCTCTATAAAGTGATGAAAGCATAACATCATGCGCTCCCTCTTCTTGCCCACTCTCTCCGTCCCCATTTCAAGATGCTTACGGTATAATCAGCAGGTCGCAATGCTTTACTTGGCCGTGCATAGCTACTGTAGGTAGTTCCGCATTACTAACACATTTGACGTCACCCCATCTTATCCCATGACATCCAATGCCGAGTGTCAACCAAATTCAGCTAGGAACTATCATCAACAACTCAACTACCCTAACCAGACTTTCTGAATATCGTCTTATATTTTTCTTCATATTCTTTGGGGGACTACATCATCATGCCGCATACAAAAGTTGACCCCGCCATCATCGAGGCATTGGGCCTCGACCCCGCCAACGCGGCCATGCACTCTCATGGCGGATCTGGTTTTGCCTCTACATTCAAGATAACATCTGAGAAGAATGGGTCACCAGTAAATTACTTTGTCAAAACTGGGACAGGAGATGACGCACAAGTCATGTTCAGGGGTATGCTACACTCATATCCGATATCATGATCGCTCTAACAAGATACAGGTGAACATGCTTCTCTGAACGCCATAGCTGATGCAGTACCCAACTTCTGCCCGCGATCTCACGCTCATGGCGCTCTCTCCCAGCGCAAGGGTCATCACTTCCTCGCAACTGATTTTCTAGATCTGGGCTCTTCAGCCCCGGGTGGTTCGGGCAGAACTCTCGCATCAAAGGTTGCGCAGATGCACACAACGCCCGCGCCTATTCCAGAAGGCTACGACAAGCCCATGTTTGGTTTCTCAGTACCTACATGCTGCGGTGCTACGGAGCAGGACAACTCCTGGCGGGAATCATGGGCCGAGTTTTATGCTGATAACCGTCTGAGACATATCGCTCGTCAAGCAGTGCGCAACAATGGTGCTGATCCTGAGCTTGAAGAAGCTGTTGAGCAAGTTGCTGGAAAGGTGGTACCGCGGCTCATTGGAGATGATGTCGTGAAGAACATCAAACCTGTGGTCATTCATGGCGACTTGTGGAGCGGAAATCACTCCAAGGGGCAAATTGGAGGGCAGGGCGGATGCGAGGAGGTTGTTTATGACCCCTCGGCTGTATATGGCCACTCCGAGTTTGAACTCGGTATCATGTCCATGTTTGGCGGTTTCAGCAATCACTTCTGGAAAGAGTACCATGAGCTGGTACCAAAGGCCGATCCTGTGGAAGAATGGCCAGACCGAGTGAAGCTATACGAGCTGTAAGTTCATGCCTCCTCAAATAGATCAATACCCTCGCTGACGCATCTCAGATACCATCATCTTAACCATTTTGCGATCTTCGGAGGGGGTTATCGAGGAGGCGCAATGTCCATCATGAGGAAGCTCATTAGCAAGTACGCATAGACAGAATAGCAATAGAGTAATGACAAAGATACTATGTTGGATCTAAATGCAAAAATGCCGCAACGCCTCGTTGTACCCGCTGTATACGCCCAAGTCTAAGTTAGAGAAACATCTTCTATGAAATGCAAATGCTCCTTGTTCAAAATGCTTCGGAACAAAAAGATATTTGGTCTGTGTCCTTGATCTATGCTGCGAGCATGGCTGGTTGTTTTGTCCTCTCTGCCTTCGTCTGTGCCTCGATCTCTGGCTGGGGCTGTGGCAATTCGTTGATGGGAACGTCTGGGAGTCGTTCGGCGGGTGCAGGGCCTGTAAGTTCGGCCTCGAGAGCTTCCAACTCGTCTTCCACTTCTTGCTCGTCCTGGTTCGACATGCGCCCTCCAAGCAAATCGCTAACTTCCTTGAGGAGTGTAAGTAGGAAATACAATGCATGAATGTAATCGTGGTAACGTACCTGCTGATAGGCAATAGCATCTGCCGTTTCACCCATCAATTTTTCCACGTTTTCTATACCGCCCATCTCAGCATGAATCTCCTTGAGGACCTTTGTACCCTGCTGCAACCCAAACACAACGTCCTTCTGTATAAGCGCAAACTCGACATCCGACGTCAACTTTTCAAGCTGGGCCAGCTGCGCATCCGTCTTTGCCAGCAACGACTCCTGATACTTCTTGCGCCGCAGAGCCAACAGAGCGCGCTTCTTGTCACCCTTTGCCAGCATCTGCTTTGCGATATCGGTCTCCTTATCTGTAAGAACTGTTATTTTCCGCTGGTACTGATGGAGTCTATCGCGCTGATTCTTCATATCCAGGATGGCTCTATGAGGGAGTTGTTAGTCAAACTGAGAATCGGCAGGCGGTCACGGGCGCAATCGCGGGGGATGTAAAAGGATTAGGAAGAACATACTTGTCCTGGGCTGTGACTTTGCTCCCATTTGCACCCATTGCGATTATTGAGACTATATGGTTCGCTGTGAATTGAGCTTATCGTGAAACTATTGGAGTCTTTGCGCGACAATAATGATGTGTTGAAGATTGAGGTTGAGGTTGGGATTAGTATGTCACTTCAACGATAAGGTAGCGATTGTCACGAGGGAGTATCGTCATCGGCGCGGGACCGGGGTTCAGGGTCTTATCGATAAGGCGGACCTTTTTTGATGGACAAAATTCAGCATCATTGTAGTGCTTGGTTGGGACTATCACATAAAATCAAGCATCTTATGGCTTTGACATAACCTGATTCAAGTAATTATACCTGCCGAAGCGTTCAATGTCGGACCGCCTTGACTCTAAATTTTGACCGACAGAACATGTATTTGTCCCAAACGCTTGTAGGACTTTGTAGGTTAAGAGGAAAGAAGAACCTACTAACCTTGCGTACAGTTTGGCAGCTGTTAATGCCTTTTCATTGGCGTTCAAGTTCAGTCAATCTGACTTGTATAACTAAATTATACAGCAGCCTTTTGTGCCAGTGGGTCACTGTTGGCGAGAGTTAAGAGTTCAGTGGCTGTGGGCGACTTGAGTTCTATTGCGACGAGCCCATGGACTATATCTGCCTGGAGAGGTCAACCTTGATTTTCAAACCACCGAGATGTTAGGTAAACGTTAATACCAGGTAACTTATTGAGATATTGTGACTCAAAGCTCCAGAGCAACGAATTTGTATTATTGGACTTAATTATGAAAACACAGCGGATTTTGCTAATTATATTGCGATTCGCACACAGTCCCCATAAAATACACCATGTCAGTCGTACTAAAGATAACTTGAACTGCTGCCAGGAACATAAGAGACGAAATAATTTGATCATCTTAGTCGAGCTTAGACTAGCTTCTAGGTTACATTATTTTAGAAGTCAGATAGATCGAAATAAGAAGGGAGACGATTTGGGTTGGATGGCAGCCCGGCTCTTGATGTCCGTCTCAATTATTACTATTACCCGCCTATATGTGGGTCTTGACTCCCCTCCCTGTGTGCGAATTGAAGCTACTCTGTGCGAGTATTGTCCCTTCCGCTTTTTTATTTTTTTTGCTTTAGGTTGTAGTCTAAATTATGACATCTTTTAGGATCCTTTCCCAACCTAGCTTCCTCATTCACCAAAAAAACACTAAAAGTCAAGATGACCTTTGGGGCCAAGAGGCCGCGGCCCCAATTGCAGAAGGGGCTTGATCGCGATGTCTACCTAGTTTTGAAGAAGCTCGAAGACTCAAACGACGGTAAGCCCTTCAAGACGACAACAGCCATCTACGAAGCCATCAAAGGCTCCAACTCTAGCCTCAGCCGGCAGAAAAAGCGCCCTCTCGAGGACTCAATCGATCGTGTATTTCAATATCGCAAAGAGGAATTAGGCCAAGATTCGAGCGACTCAGAAGCTGCTCTCGAAGAGACACCCAAACCCGACGACGACCGGTTTCTTCTCAACAGGCAAATGACGAAGCATTGGCACACTCCAGCTGCCCAAGATACCACAACTCAAACAAGCGAGGGGGCACGCTCTACAAAGAAGCGTCGTGTACAGGAAGACGGGGACGAGCGCGCAAAGGACGGCGCCGTCACACCCAAGGGCGCATTGACGGATACAGATGCTGCGCCGGCAGAAAAACAGACGAAAACGCCGTTGAAAAAGACCCAGAAGTCGAGCCGTCACAAGGTCGAGCATCCTTCCAACGCCGTGCAGATTGGAGGGGTTTCCGATATCTACGTAGAGCTTTGCAAGCAGACACACCCCTTGCTGAAACGGCCAGAATCATGCGTCGTTGCCAACAAGATGCGTAAGGTGCCAGGTATCCTGCTTTCAGGACCCCCAGGAACCGGAAAGAGGTCTTTGATTAGGTTCCTTGCATCAAAGATTGATGTTCCGATCGTATCACTTACTGAATGTTTGGAAGATCCTGAACGCCTGGAAAGAAGCCTTAACGATGCCGTTGAAGAAGCCATGAGGCTGGCCCCTTGCATCGTTCTAATCGAGCAATTGGATTGGTATATGTCAAAACCAGGAAGCAGCAGCCACAGCGACAGCCAGCGCCGAAACGTGGTTCAGTTCAGACGGCAGATGCGACGAATCGAGGCGGAACAGGACAAGGATAGACACATTCTTGCCATGGCTACGACATCACAAATCACCGACGTTGACCCTGAAGTACTGAGGACTGGCTTGTTTGAACGCACAATTCAAATGCGAATACCAGATGCCGAGGGTCGTGAAGACATCCTTAGACTGCTTACGAAAGACAAGAAGCTGTCTGACGACGTCAATTTTAAGGAATTGGCAAAGATAACACATGGATTTGTGGGTGCTGATATCCTCAATGTTTTGACCCTCGCAGAGCAAGTGGCGCTGGAGCGCTACATGGATCTTAGCTTGTATCAGCAACATCTCAACGAAAGGTTTCCTACGGATCAACCACTCCCGGACCTTATGGAACTTGAGGATACACAACCTTCCACTCCCTTCCTCGAACCACCACTCGATGACCCTTTGACACGGGAAGATTTCAAGAAAGCCATCAAAGACTTTGTGCCCTCTTTGCGAAAGGACGGCTTTACGGTTGTGCCCAACATCACTTGGGATCAAGTCGGTGCCCTCCAAGCTGCACGTAGGCAACTCGAACTGTCCATCATCGGTCCTATTCGAGACCCCAACCGTTACCGTCGCCATGGTCTTCGTCGTCCGGCAGGCTGTCTTCTATGGGGTCCTCCTGGATGTGGAAAGACACTTGTTGCCCAAGCTGTCGCCAACGAAGCCCAAGCCAGTTTCATTCTCATCAACGGACCAGAGCTTCTCAACAAGTACGTGGGTGAATCAGAACGCGCTGTACGTGAGCTTTTCAACCGCGCGCGCTCGTCTACCCCCTGTATTCTCTTCTTTGATGAAATGGATTCTCTTGTTCCCAAGCGTGACAACGCCTCCACAGATGCTGGCACTCGTGTCGTCAACGCCCTTCTTACCGAGCTTGACGGTGTGCAAGACCGCACAGGCGTGTACGTCATTGGCACAACCAACCGCCCAGATATGATTGACCCTGCTATGCTCCGTCCTGGTCGCCTCAATGTGCGCCTCTTTCTCGATCTTCCCTCCCCCAGCGAACGAGTCGATATTCTACGTGCCATTTACCGCACGAATCACCCAGATGCAACCCCAGCTGAGTTCGAGAAGCTGGAGGCTGTAGCACGCGATCCTCGCTGTACTGATTTCAGCGGTGCTGACTTGGGAGGATTGCACGAAAAGGCAGCCGAAAGTTCACTCGAGCGAGAGGCTGAGAAGCCCGAATCGGCAGGCATTGACGAGGTGGATTGGGAATACGCGCTTTCGAGGACATATAGAAGCGTAACAAATCCAGAGACGTACCGTAAGCTAGAAGCGAAGATGGGGAAGTCATGACGAAATTCCGAAATCCCCTAATGATACACAAGGTGGATGGCAGTGCGTCAGAAGAACTGGCCTTTGTAAGGCATAAGAGACGAAACAATCTTAGCCACCTTATGTTAATTTTTAGACTAGCACTTTTGCTAATTTATTTTGATCTTCTAAACAATAGAGGACAATTCTTTTATTCCCACTTTGACCCAGCCTTCTCGCGAGTTCATTCACTTCACCGTACACCGAACCCCGACTCAGCCATTGACCACATGTGGCTCAAGTTTCTCCAACTGTCAGTTACCGTCGCATGGCAAGTCAGGGGTAAAAAGCAAGATCTCCAAAAATAAACCAGGATTTAACAAAATCCAAGACAAGGAACAAAACAAGAAAGCGCATGACAGCACTGTCCGCCGATCGCCGCTGGTGCCGCATATGCCGTCCGGAGCAACGGAGCTGCGGAGCGGAAATAGCTCGGCAATCACTCTTTCATGATAAACCTGCAAAAAATCACAGGCATACATAGAAAACAGACCGTTTTTTTATAACTCACGAGACCCATTTTCTTTACGGGGCTCTCGGCTATCGGAGGGGAGAAAATAGGAGATGTGATTGTAATTGAGACTTCTGAGATTGGCTGTTGAGAAAGTGAGATCAAACACTCATCATGACGTTCACGTTGCATATGGATGATGGTAATATTAGGAGGTGAGAATATGAGAATGTTAAATCTCTAATCTAATCTTAACAAAACATGATTTTTGGATGTACAGAGGCGAACACTTTTCATTTAGTCGTTCATGGCATTCCTGTTTCGCCTCATCCAACGCCGGGCTTTCTTTGTCTCAAAAAAGTGTATTGGACGAAGATGCATCAAGGAAGATGGGAATGAGTACAAGCACGTGGCATGTCTTAACAAGTGCTGTGTAAAATCTATAGTACAATCGCCCCTTGGCGGTGGTTCCCATCTATCGAAAGTCGTAACATTACACGCGATCTAGAGTCGCTTAAGAAGTAGCATCCTTGAGGTAGCTGTGAAGCAGTTAGTAATTGTTGTGAAACCACAAAGTGTCCAGAGCGCGTGACAGATTTGGAACCATCATCTCGATGCATCATACTCAAAAGAGATATTGTAGTAGAATGATGTCCATTGCTGACTGCAGCTCAGGTGATGTAGAGAAACTTACGCAATGAGGTCGTTGCGGTCCTTGGCCTTCTTCAGGCCACCGAAAGCCATCTTGGTACCGGGGATGTACTTCTTGGGGTTCTCGAGGTAGTCGAAGAGAGTGTCGTCGTTCCACTCAATGCCCTTCTGCTTGTTGGCATCGGTGTAGGAGTAGCCCTCAACGGAGCCGGTCTTGCGGCCCCAGAGACCGTGCAGAGCAGGTCCAATCTTGTTGCCGCCGTCCTTCTCAACGGTGTGGCACTGAGCACATCGGGTCTTGAAAAGGTTGGCACCCTTCTTGATATCGCCTGAGGAAGTCCAGTCAGTACATGAGTTGATTTGTTAAGTGAGTTGATAAGGCTGAAGCAGGCAATGGTTGTGGAAGCAAGTAAAGATGAAGAGAGAATCGCTATTGTGATTGGAGACGTCGGATGGACTGGTGGTGAGACCTGGTCGACAAATCGTGGTTGTGGGAAAACCTGTTCTGGGTAAATGACGCAGGCAGCAGAGTCAGCTGGCATGAGGCTGAAGGTAGCCACTGCAGGATTGATTGATGCCTTTGTCTAGAACCCAAAATCCCTTGACAGACGAACTGAAGTCGTAGAATCGTATCGGCGAAGCGTCTCTTTCTCACAATGCTCAATTGACCCGCCAAAGCCATGCACTGCTATCCGGCGCAAACCAAGGAGGTGTGCTAAAGTGTGCTATAAGAATAACTTACCGCCAGCCATTGTGAATATGGGTTGTGATTAAGAGGTAAAAGGTGGTAGTAATTAAAACGAGAGGGCGTTAGCCAAAGACGTGAAGAGATCGTTTGATGGTTGAGAATGTGGATGTGGAAGGGAAAGAGGAAGAGAGAGAAAAAAAAAAAGTCCAAGGCAAGCCAGGAAAATAAAACTTTATGACACCATGACACACTGGGGAAAGAATCGCTCATTCTCTTGGAGAGCCACAAGTGGCTGAAGACTTTACAGCCAATCACAGGCCAAGAGTAAGTAAGCCGTCATTCTTACCCCTGCACTTAGTAACTGTGGCTCCGGGTAAAGTCGGATCACAACTCTAGAGGTGGACCTCATCGGCGGTGTACATTGTTCCGGGGCGTCTTGTCCCATCATGGCCGCTATAGATGCAGCCAGGGCCACTGGAGAAGCGAAAAAAAATGATTGCTCTGTTGGTTCCACGAGATGGAGTCTGTCTGACTGTGGTCATCCGTCAAGTCCTGCTTTTTCCCAGACCAAGAATAGACTATACCAATAGAGGTTTAGTATACCCCGTCAAAGAGACGGAGTGGGACCTCCGTGCCGGACCTCGTTTCTTACAGTAGGTTCTTTTCTTAACGTAACGGCTCCGGAAAAAAGATTCTTCTGTGTTTGGGTTTGGACAAACGTGAGGGCATCACGGCACCACCACAAACAAGCTCTAAAGCTGTAAGAGGAGGAGAAAAGAAAAGGAAACATTCATATATCATTTGAATTTGTATATATCGACAACATGACGTCGCGCGCTGTCATCCCCCGCTTCCTGCTTCCTCTTCAGGGCCCTCTCTGGCGTGGAATTAGCATCCCACTTTCTCAGAACAGCATCCGAATTCGATTCGCCTCCTCTTCCTCAAAGGACAAACCGATTGTTCTCGAAAAGCCCGCTCGCTTCAACCCCCCCTCGCATGGCTCTCGTCTCAAGAAGGGCAATGTGCCCAGACACTACGGTCCTGAACTGACCGCCTCCGAGGTCGCTATCCAGAGCAGGAAGCACTATCCCGGCATGATGGCCCCCGAGGGAACATGGGAGCACTTTTTCTGGCACAGCAAGACGCTGCATACCTTTATCACCATGGTACGCTCACATCTTACAGCTTGATGGTCTACCCACTATCAATGCGCCCTGCAACTGGACCACTGGCTAACTTATATTAGGGAACCCTCTTTGCCCTTGGTATCTTCACATTCTTCATGAACTACGCCTACAACTCCCCATATAAGGAGCTCGTTCCTCCCATCTCAGACCTCTGGACTCATCCCATTCACTTCTTCGTTGCCTGGAAGAACGTAATCACGCTCCACGAGAAAGACAAGGCCTTGAAAGCCAACGAGCACCGTACCAACCATCTCGACGATGTCGCCAAGCGCCGCCTCTTTATGAAGATGCACGGAATCGAGACCAAGGACCCCGTGACCGTCATGTTTGGCAAGGGTGAGGAGGAGCCCAAGCCCGAGCAGGAGGCTGTTGCGGAAGCGGAGCCGGCATCCAAGGTTGAGACCCGGGACAATGTTGAGGAGCCCAAGAAGAAGTGGTTCGGTGTCTTCTGAATTCTGTAAAATAATGATGAAAATCCTTCATGTATTATATAGCTGTAAGATAACGCTCCTCGTTGTACGGGCATCATGGGTTGTAACGACGTGGAATATACAATGCTCCTTTGCGAAGTGTTCTATTATACCCCTACCGTAACCATACATGAGATCATGAAAGCTCAACCCCCTCTAATCCATCCAGAACTTCGTCTGCGACACCGCCCTTCTCCAACACAGCCTGTATTATGCCATCGATGACTCCAAACTTGGTTCCACCCAGTGGTGCCTTCCAAACGCCCTCGGTTGTTTGAGTATCGCTTTTCTGCGCGGGTCCTGAGTTGTTCGCAACATGCGGTACTCCAGGTGGAGTCAATCTCGATGGAGGATCAACAGTTCGCACCGACAACAGCTTGAGCTCCCGCCCCTTCTTATCGACGTCCATATCACCCGCTTCCTTGATTTTACGGACTTCAGCCACAGACACAGCCAGGGCGCTCTCAGCGACAGCAAGTTCCTCCTTTGCAGGATCGAAAATGGTGGTGTCGCCAATTGCCACGACTAGCAATGTGATAGGTGGTCGTGAACCCTGTGCGCCAGCACCATCGCGAGGGTACAGGAATGTAGAGGACTCCCAGTCATCATCGAACATAGGGTCTTCGTCGCCTTCGGACTTGAGACGAGGAAGCCGTGTAGCTAAGAGTGCGAGATGCGTTGTGAGTGAAAGAAGCGGAAGAGGATATGATAGCGGAGGGGATATTAGAAGAACCTGCGCCATCAATTAGTAAACCCTTTTTTATCGAGCCTTGAAGCAACCTACATCTAGGTATAGTCTCCAGTGAAACCGTCTGTTGATCCTCAACTTCTTGGCAAACTCGTTATCGGCCAACAGCGCCTCTCTCAACATCTCGGCCAAGAAGACTGTCGAAGCTTCATCGTCTCTTTGTCCCGGAATTTCCACTGCCAGCTCAAGCCAGTCATTCCTTGACCTATCTTGTTCATCGTGCTGCTCCTCGCTTCCTCCTGTCTTTTCAATCTCAGCTTTGACTCCTACAATGGCTTCTGTGCCATCCGAAAAATGCACGCGCGCGCTTCCATTTGTGCCAGGAAGGATTCCCGTCTCAGCTGTCAAGGGGCGGAACTGGGTAGGGCTGCGTCCATCGGGTCGAATTGGGGGATGTAGAGAGAGCGACTGGTGCAGATATGCGAGTTCTGCGGGTGAGAAGAGGTTTTGCTGGGACGTCATGGTGATGAAGAAGACGACGGATAGCCAATAGAGATGCTATGGATGCAGCACGATATCCCCGTCCCCGTATAGCAATAGCAAGTCGAGTGGCTTGTTTGAGGAATGCGACGTGAAAATGGCAATGACGCAGGTTTTTGATGTTGAAAAGGCTGGTCGCTCACCGAGGTGAATGATAAGATAAAACAGAAAAAAAGTGTGGTGGGCTGGTCGACCGCTGGTTGGAGATTGCGGGGTGGTACCTTTCAACGTGTGGATAGCTTGGTTACCAATCATGAAAGTGCATCTGACTATTGAAGTAACGACGTTTATAAATATATTGAATACCTTCATGACGTTCGCATTGTTCTGTGTATTGATTTGATCAAACTGTTCTTCCTAAACAACCATTTACTCGGGAGATTTGACACATAGGCGTGGGATCATGAGCTTAAAAGGCCGGTGGTGGGTATGCTTATAACTAGGCGTCCATCTTTCCCTATCGTCGTGGAGCAAAGTCTAGACAAATCCGATCCATCAAGTCCGGGCCAGTTGCAGCAACGAGTTCTGCCACTGTCGCCTTCAGTCCTGGTTGCTCTTGAACGCCGCGTTCGTCCCAACTGACAAGATCGGATGTCTCATATAACGGGCCAGTGGGAGCAATCTTTAGGGCGATATGGTCCATGTCCCAAGTAGCTGCCGAGGATATCGGAGGTATGCCAGGCATCCCAGAGGTGAAAAGCCAACCACTGTCTTCTTCGTCACTAGATAGCGAAGAGTCGGAGCCTTTGGATTCAGAACCGTTGCCCATCTTCACCTGCTCACTGGGAGCTTTGGGTGCAGACATGTCCTCCTTAGTAGCCTGCTTCTTCTCAAGCGAGAGGCTTACGAACGTCTTTTTGTCGAGGAGATCTAGCATCTCTCGATCCAACGGGTCCCAAGCCAATGAGTCTGGGTCAAGGACAAACTGTGGTGAGTAATCGATCTTGTATCGCATCTTGGGACAGCTGTGTATATAAAAACCGGGATACCACCAGCCATAGCCTTCTTCAACGGCCAAAGCGATCTCATACAAAGCGCCGAGTTTCCCTGGTGCATGCCTGTGTATGCTCTCGTGGTAAAGGAAATAGACTGAGCTTACACAGTCTGGTAAAAGATCGAGAACACCGATGGCAACCAGCTTACCATCCAGCCTGTAACAGTGATGATAAGAACCCAGTCGTCGTTCATGTCCATCTGGTGCTACCATTGTTTCCCTTCTCAAAGGCGAGCTGCAAAGAAAACGTCTGAACCCGCTCTTGCTTATTTCACTTGGCACATCCTTATGTACTACCCGCTGGTAGTTCTCATAAACAGCAAACTTCTCCTCAGTGAAGTCGTCATGTTCCAAAGTCACAACGAGTTTGTGTGCAGGCTCAGGTGGGTTCTTTACGCTCGCATCCTCAGCCTCGTGGATTCTTTCAACAAGGTTAAAGTGGTTGTCACGTTTCTTGGCTTCGTCACGCGATTTGGGGTACAGTCGGGAAGCTTCCTTGACGTAAGAATCCCCCACAACAAACTTGTTGAACCTGTTGATGGTTTGCCGCTGATCTCTAGACGGTTTGAACTGGCTAGAGTCAAGACGGATACTATAATGAGGGCAGCATGACCGGCGTTGGTCGGGTCGATACATGAGTGTACCTGAGCGCCTCCAACATCTGTCCAACAGAATCTGGTAAAATCCTGGGCTCAGCGATGATGTTGATGCGTAGTAAGAGTAGCCTGTTGCCCACGTACTAGTCAGCGTTGGGTTACTGTGATGAGGTCACTTGAAAGAGCTTGACGGTGGTGGATAGAGTGAGGGTTCGGGCATGTCAGAAGCGATCTTCCACGGTATCTACATAGCGTTTCTGATACCTCGTGACGTAAGTGCAGACAGTTTTGGTAGGATTTAAGAACACGAGAGAGGTGCAGGGACTTCACGTTTTGACTGACTCTTGCCACGAGTTCCACAATAACCACATCTTGATGATTTAGAGTATCCTGGACGATGGTCAGCTTTCATTGAAGGGAAAGGTGTGAACAGCAATCGCGTGGGGGTAAGTGATCAGACTGGATGTCACACTGGAACCTGAAGCATACGTGGGGTCGGGAAAGAAAAAGGCCAAGTCTAAGTGTGAGCAGCAGACGAGCAGTACAACGCTTGACGCTTATAGCAAGACGCAACTACTCAGACAGTGTTCGTGGTGAGCCTCATCAAATGATGATATCATGTCAGCGTCGGGTCAGGTCCTTGCAGCCCTATTTGAGGATAAATGTCATGGCCCAGCCCATTGCCATTTAGACCTGCGCTGATGAAGAATAGAGCGTACAAGAGGCAGAAAGTGACAGAACTTGAGAGCTGGCCATGAGCATGTTTGTTCGGTCACAGCTCTCCATTCGTGTAATTGACAGAAAACCCATGACTTCACGGGGCAAAGAAAATAATTCCTGTTATTTGAACGAATGCATCAAGGACCTATGGGCAGGTAGGTGCGAGCGCAACGCCTATCAATTCTGACGGTGGCATTGATCCCTAGCGCAGAGTGTTGACATGCGGAACTGCAGTCGGAATATGATCAACTGGTGAAGAGCTGGAGTGGAAGCTGTCGACAGCCTAAATTGAGTGTCGATATTGACGTGGATGTATGTAAGTGTGAAGTGGGAAGTGATATGGATCGACTTGACCCGGACGGGGATAACGGGGGCGCCACGGGGACCGGCCGCAGCGGAGCTCAAGCGCAGGCGCCGGCAGCCAACGACAAGCCGGCATTTGACCACGGGGACGATCGGTTGGAGAAGAACATGAGAATAAGCACTCACCAATTGGCGAAAGATATTCATACAGCAACGCATCTCCAGGGATGCGCATGCCATTGGGTTCCATCGTGGTCCTCGAAACTGCACAGCTGGAGAAGGTGCTTGTCTCTTGTATTCTCACGACGGAAGGCAACGGTGATGGACGTATGTACAGAGTGCCTCACCTTTTTCTCAAGCTGAGACAATTTGGAGAGTAAGTTGACGCACGAGGCTCGCTAAGTGCTATCCAAGTTGGGCAAGTGAATGCGTGAGGTAGCTAGTTACCGCGTACGGCTGTCAAGTCAAGCTCAGACGAGATGGAGACAGAGAGGGGCGGTTTGGTTTCCCGAGACCTGGAGAATGGAGGGGGCGTGTGGATTTGTCGAAGGAGATGCGATCGCGTGTCTCTTGGAATCAAAGCAGGCAGACGAAAGAGAGGTGCGTGAGCGTGGGATGTTGTGTCGTGTCTGGCGGTTGGTGAACTGAAAATCAGCCCGACTGGTCTTTCGGCTGCACACGAATGATGACGAGAGGTCGGCTGCGGATGGTATCCAGGGATTGACGCTGAGGGACGGTGATCGTGTGTGGGCAATGCGCATGTGCGACAGAGTTGACCAGAGTTGACCAGAATCGAATGGCTTCGATCTAACTTTAGACGACTAGACCAGGATAGTAGAACAGGGGTCGAAGACGTTGAAGGGGACCCGACGGGCAAGGGCGTAGGATAGCAATGGCGTGAAATAGACCAGACCGTTTCGTAGGCTTGAGTAACGGTTTGAGGTCGAATAAGGCAGTCCCTAACTGTACGGCTAGATTCCGATGTTGAAGGCCTGGCTGGCAGAAAGTTGCATCATCGACGCCTATCAATATAGCTCGAGAACAGATTAAGAGACGAACAGTGGCAGTTGATTAGATATTTTCAAAGGAAGATGGGAAGAGAAAGGGAAGAGAAAGGGAAGAGAAAAGTCGGAGCTTGATTGAAGTTGATGAGATTGACCATTGCTCAGATCAGCTCCGCCAGGTCCAATGGATCCAACCATGGAAGGCAACAACCGCTGGAGGTGCACCTGCCAACCTGGACTGAACTAATGGCGGGGTCCTCCACAGACTACTACCTACCTACGCTGCCTGCCCAACGAGACTCTGAGATCCAATATACAACCCGACCCTCGTGATAAATTCACATAGATCATCACCTCTGGATAGATATACAATTTTCTTACGGATGGTTTTATACAAGTGACGTCTATTTGCACTAGTCTCAGTATTACGAGGCGTCGGGGTAAGTTGTAGCTCCTCCTGTCGTGTAAATCCAGAGCCTCGCTGCTGCGTACTAACACCACTAAGTAGGCCAGTGGTCTTGTCCTGCAAATAGGAACAAATAGAAACCAATACGATCGCCCAGTTTCTAGTTGTTTCCTGCATCTGAGATTTACACAAGTTTCCTCATGATAGCATAAGACATAGAATCATTCCAGACCCGGTTCATACCCAGTAGGAAAGCTTCCGGTCTCTCCAGAATCTGCTCCAGCATTACGGAACCAAATTCGGTACAAGGCTGAGTCTGTGTTACCAACCTCGATAAAAGTTGTCTCGTCTCATTTTGACAAACCTAAGCACCTATCTGTTTTGGACGGAGGAAGAGGAAGGAGATTGGAGGAAGCTGCATATTGCCCTGGTTCTTGTCGGCCAATCCCTCAGTGTTGTCAATCTGCCCAGCTTACCAAGTACTGTAGGTACAGCCAAGTACCTACATGTTCGAAATATTCCTTGCATACTGCAGCTCAAACTCAAGTGTGACGAATAAGACGAGACGGGAAGAAAGAAGCCTACAGGACTAGCCTCAAGCCGACTGGCCCCAGAGCCAAGACAGCGAATCGAGGTGCTGTACGAAAATTGGTGCTGTGTGTTCTTGCATAGTAGGTCCATTACTCTGCAGATTCTGATGGTTTCTTTTTTTTTTTTTTTTT